CACCTCTGATTAATAAATGTCACTTCACATATGAAGTGCTTTATTTCCCGTCTATTCATTTACAGTGATATACTTGTTCTTAACTCACTTGAAGAGGTTTCTTTCTCTGTAGTTCGTTTTTGAAGTGATTAACTTCTTTTTATTAACTGTCTTTTTTTAAGCAGTCTCAGTTCTTCTATCAATATATAATAATAAAAAGACAAACCTAAATAAACACATAATTTCAAAAATGAATTTTCATTCAACATAAATATTACAAACTATTTAATAGTCTTTACAAAAAATCAAAAAACAAAACTATTTCCCTGATGGGAGAGATGGCTCCACTGGCTCCACTAGCTCCACTGGCTCTTGCTTAGCTGGAGGAGGTGGCTGAGTTGGCTGCTGCTCATCTGGCAGAGGAGGCTGCTCACCGGCAGAGGAGGCTGCTCATCGTCAGAAGGAACTGGATGAATCTCCACTTCTAGAGCTGGTTGGACCTCACCCACTTCAATTCCTTCCACTCCTGCCTCCATCTCGCCCTCCTCTACCTCTGCCCCTTCTTCCTCCACTGCAACGGACTCGAAGTCGAACTGTGGAGGAAAAACAGCAAGACCGTCTGCATCATTCTCCCACCTCAGCTTAATCTGAGAACGGAAGTCTGCTAACATGCTCTCGCCATCCTCCTCCACTCCTTCTTCTTGCTCGCCGAAGGTGATCTTCGTCACATCCACTTCGGGATATTCAGCCTTCACCTTTTTTCTGCAGTTTATGAAAGAAATGATGGCAGTGGGCAGCCGGTACAGGTTGACGATGCTATCAAAGGAGCTGGAACTGATGAAGTTGCTGATGTGCTCCTTCATCCCATTATGTACTAACTTCCGCATGTTCCCCTTCAGCTCCTTGAATGCCTTCGTCATCAGTTTCATTTCTTGCGCCTAAGCCTCACGCTCGCTTTCAGCGATCCTTCGTTTACTCTCCTCAAAAGTGAGCTTGGTGCTCAAGGAAGCCCTCTCCTGCTCCAACTGGGAAATGGTTGGAACCACCTCGTTTAAAGAATCTTGCAGCTCCTTATTTTTCTTCTCCAACTCCTCCTTCTCCTTCTGCAACTAGTCCCGCTGCCTCTGCAAGACTGCACGATCCTTCAGGCTCTCCCTCAATTCCTGGGCTAGACCATTCACCCAGCTTGCGCTCTGCAGATCAAAACTGAAGTTAAGAAAAAAACAAAAAAGAAAAAAGAACGAAGAGAAGGCGACACAAATTAACTAAACAGAAGGATGCTTTAACTTACCTCTAGAACATGCTTCACCACGGACGCCCCACCGTACCTCAGAGCTTCCTCCCGCGCGTTGCTTTGGTCCACCTCAGGGAAGGTGTTGTTGATGAACCACCTGGCCCCCGTTATGTTCTTCGCCTCGAACAGGCTGCTTTGAGGCCCCAGTGGGGGAATAGGGCCCTTTCCCTTACCAGGAGCTCGTACCTTAGTCCCTTCCTCCAACTGTCTGAGCTCAGGGTCCAGCTCAACAGGAGAAGGCTGAGGTATGAACACAGGGACCTCCTTCCCCGTCTCCTCCTCCACCACCCTCTGCTTCTTCTGCAGCGCCCTCCTCTCCTCCCAGCCCTTCCTCTTCAGCTGTGGCACCTCCTCCTCCGTCTCAGCTGAAGCCGCAAGTACTGCCTCTTTCCTGGTCCTCCCCTCATCCACTTGTTTGGTTGAAGTCTTTGGCTTCTTGGGGATGGCCGCTCCTCCAGCAATGTTCAGGAACTGGTCCATTTCAGCTGCAAAGCAAAAATACACAATATCAATCACAGTTCTATACTCTACATTCACTACTACAACACAGAACTAAACCAACCTTCACTTAAAGCGCTTGGCCCATAGAGCTCAGTAGCCTCTATGCGCGCGCTGGTGAGGTCCAAAATGTTCAATAAATCCCCCCCTTCCTCACTAACCTCCCCACTTCCTCCTCTTCATCCTCATTTAAGCTAAACCTATTCTGGTTGGCCCTTTTGGCCTTC